AGTCAAGGGATTGGGGTTGGGGCTCAGTGGGAGAGTGCTTGCCTAGCATGCACTCGGCACCATATAAATGTAAAATAAAGATATTGTGTCCACCTAATGCTTAAGAATAAATATTTTCAAAAAATTAGATGAATCAAATTCATAACATGGAGGTTTGATGATTTATTAGTCCATTCTTCTACAGATAGGCATTTTAATGTTCTGTTATTTCAAACAAGGTTGAAATGAACATTTTTGCATTTATACTTACATTTAGTATATTTTACCTTCTAGTAAAGGTAATTTTACTTCAGTAGGGTAGATTCCTACAAATTGGATTGCCAGGTGATCCAGAAAAGCATATTCTGTAGTTACTATGGTATCACTTTCCACTAGCATATTGGCACTAGTAAAATCTCGGAAGGTCTGCATCTCTTCTCCTGGTTTAATCATTACTGCTAGAAGAAATATCGACTTCAAATACACAAATATGAAGTTTCAGATGCTTTGTGAATACAAACAATATTTAGACATCCTGCCCCCGCCTCCCTGGATGTTATCACGCACTGGATGTTATCAATGTTTAAATTTTGCCTATTTCTATTGAAGAAACTATTCATTCAATGAATGACGGCTCAAAAGGCAACAGATCCACAGTATCCTTAATTTCCCAGCACAGTTGTTGTCTCTTTTGGTGTCTTTCAATCCTCCCCTAGACTCATTTCATRTGTGTGTGTGTGTGTGTATGCGCGTGTGCAGGTGCATCTGTGTATACATTGGGATTCCGCTAGAGGTAGATGAGAACATGCCACATCTTCTACCTTTGTATGTTCTATTTGCCTAGCACAATGACTTATACTTGATAAATACGTCCTGCTGAAGGAATTGGTGAATAAAATGTTGAAGAGAAGACCAGAAGAGCAGATAGTGGCCAAATCCTGGACTTTTTGTATGCCAACCCAGAGAAGCTGAAATGTATCAGTGTCTATTGAGAAACCACAGGTGTCTAAGCTGGCCAATGGAAAGATAAGATCTGAGGAGGGGAGACTGAGTGCTGAGGCTAARACAAGACACCCAAGTACTGAGGGTAGGTAGGAGCAAAACTGGTTCACACACACTTTTTAGAAATCAAAGACCTAAGTTTTACAGTATAGGGTTTGTTTTCAAATGTTTTTTAGTCAGTTTTTTTTTTTTTTCTGCTGTGACTAAAAGACCCAACCAGAACAATTATAGAGGAAGAAAAGTTTATTTGATGACTCCCAGTTTCAGAAGTCTCAGTCCACAGACGGTCTGCTCCATTCCTTAGGGCTGAAGGTGAGGCAGAGGGAAGAAGCTCACATTATGACCAGAAATCAGAGCAAGAGATTCCACTTGCCAGATACAAAATATATACACCAAAGGCACACTCCAATGACCACCTCCTCCAGCCATACCCTACCCYCTTTGGTTACTACTTAATCTCATCAGTGAATTAATTCACTAATTGGGCTAAGGCTCTCATAACTCTGTGATTTCTCCTGTAAACCTTCTTGCATTGTCTCACACATGAGATTTTGGGGGAAATATCACATCCAAACCATAACAAATGTGGTTTTTGTTTTGTTTTGCAGTGCTGGGGATTGAACTCAGGGTCTTTCCCATTCTAGGCAAGGGCTCTATCAATGAGCTACATTCCCAGCCTGGTATAGTTTCTTTAGCACAATTTCTAAATTTAATTTGAGCCTATAGTCCTGAGCTTATACAGTATTTTAATTTTTAACTTATAGTAGACAAAAATAGAAAAATAGAAAAACACAAAAATTATCAATATTCTTAACATAAAGCAAGAATCAACTATAGTTACTACTTTGGTATAATCTTATTTTATATATATACATATATATATGTGTGTGTGTGTGTGTGTGTATACACACACACCACATATGATTTCCTATTACATGAAATTTTACTCATATATTTTCTTTATATAGTAAATAGTTATGCATATATACATACATATATATGTTATATGGGCTTTGATGTTAGATAAAAGATACCATCTGTCTTCAACATTTCATCTTGAGACCGTGGCAGAGMATAAGTGCTCATTATGTATTGAATGTATTGAATGACTGGATTTAATGTTATTTATCTTTATTCAGAGTTTTTAGTACTTTTGCTAATTTATAAACTAAAATAATTAAAGCTAACAGTTCCAGCGCTTCTATGTCCAATGTTTTTCTTCAGTTTGTTTTATCTTATTACTGATAGAAAAAATGTGAATTTTAAATATATGGACATGGGTTTCTCAGGATGCCTATTACATATAATACCTAGGTACTCTCTTCACCAGTGATTTGTAAATATGGTACTGATCCTTTTTGTGAATTAATAATCTTTGAAACATCTAAACATTTGAGTTTATTTGATCAAAAGAATTATTTACTAATACAAATTTCTTCCCTTCACATATTCCAGGGAGTTGAAAAGCAAAATAATTTTGATTGATTTGATAACCTGGTCTGTCTTTTATTCCTGGAATATCGTTTGGTTAGTAAGCATTGTATACTGAGTGCTTCTACTGGGTTTACCCAGAGTACTCAGCATAATCACTGCCACATCCAATGCCTGGAACAAAGCGGTTGCTCAATAAATAGTCTTCAAATAGGAAAATTGTGAACATAGACATAGTAATACCTCCTTTATCCTTTAGAGAAAGGATGGTTTTATTTCTTTTTCAAGTGATATGCATAGTATTTGTTAGTCAATATTAACTATCAATAACTGGGCACTTGTTCCCATAGGAAAAAATCCACATTTAATACAAAGCTTTATATTTAGATGATGGTATTACTTTTATTCCTTCAGTCATGACTTCACCCTGGGGAATATCAAGTGGCAGTATCACTGGGTTTTATCTCCACACTCYTTCTCATCAGAGAAGTCTCAGCAGCAAGGAAGCCATAGGGATTGTGAAACCACAAAATCAAGGGGACTGGTAACTCATATTATCCTCATCTTTGTATTTCTCAATCAAAAGTAACCGGGCAATAGGAATTCAACAGTTGTTAGCTCAATCAAGATCTCCTACGTCAAAAGCTGCTGTAGGACTACTCTTGTCCAGCAGATGGCACTATTTTCTAACTCCAGCATAAGTAGACTTTTAGAGTATTTGCCTCGAGGTGATTTTGTTTTGTTGTGTTTTGTTTCTTAGCTTTACTATTCGTTTGGTAAGCAGCTGCTGACAAGAAATGTTACATTTTTTCTTTTTTTCTTAAAAATAATTCACTCTTGGGGATTTCCAAAAGTCCCACATGGGAAACATTTATTTGGCTGCAGTTTGTAGTAAGGTACACACCCAGGTAACCCACACTCTAATCTTCCCGATTACATCTGAGGAAGGGCATTGAGAGAAAATTCTTCTTGTCCTGATAGAAATTATTACAAAGGATTACCTGAGAGCCACGTGCGACAAGTTATTATGAAGGAGTAACTGACAGTCATGTGGGAGAAAATGATCTACCAAGTCTTTCTGCCTCTATGGTAATAAAATAAAAACAAAAGAGTTCCAGAATCCTTGCTTTCTAATTAGGGCAAAATATTCATTAAAYTTTACAGGTAACTTTCCTGGTTGATTAAAAGTGAACTTGAAAAAAAGTTCGCACACTCTATTGTAATTTTTACACCTAAATTTTTGCAGTCCCACAAGACATTTCAATACCCTAACAGATGACAGATGCTGCCACAAGTCTGACATGTCAGAAACTCTGCAGAAATCAAAATTTGAGAGAAGGAAGAAGTGATTGAAATAACAGGGACATGTACAGGAGTTGGAAGACAGAAGTGTTAATTGGTGGAATAATATCTCAGTTTATCTTTAAAATACTGTATTAGTGAAAATAGGGAAAGCTGGATCTGAAGCATGAGTGCCCCTGATTTTTCATAGGTATTCCTTTATAAACATGCCTCAAGTTGCTGGGTTAAATGCTGGAGGACTCAGTGTTTCCTCTGAAAACATGGAGATAGCCTGGGCTTAGGAATCAAGTCCTCCTGGTGACTTTTTAACTCCTATGAGAAGGTACAGCGATTTTTTTTAAAAGGTATTTTTAACCAATGCTTTACTTTCGAGACTAGACGGAGGCACTTTCCAGTCTAGTTTGTGAGTCTGGGCCGCGGAGTCCAAACCTCCACAACCTCACGCGCCTGAAATCCCTGCCTGGCCTCCGGCTGTCCTTCGCCAGCYCCAGGTCCAGGTAAAGGCTGCGGGCTCAGCTACTCGGACGGGCTGACAGGTGGCCCCGCCCCGCCTCCTTGTCGCCCTGGGCGGCGCTCGTCCCTGCTCCAGGCCCGAAGCCGCAGCCCGCGCGCCAGGCATAGCTTGCGAGTGGGCCACTGAAGTCGGCCGCCTCCCCAGGGAGAACAAGTACCAGGAGTGCCGCCGGGGGCCAGGAGGCAAAGGGCATCTAGYACTCTACCTAGTCGGAGGGGCGTGGGGGCAAGGCACTTTTGGTACTCCACGGAYGAGGGCCGCAGGGAGCCGGTGCCCAGGCACGTCCAGCTCTGCGCACTACCCTTCTCCCTTTTCTCCCTTTAGCGTTCGCGACCCTCGGAACCCGTCCAGATCCCTAGAGGCAGTGACTCCGAGTGTCTGCTGTCCGCGGKTCACCCAGCTCAGCCACCCACGGGCCCCAGCAGGATCCAGGGGTCACCTGAGTTGGTGAACCACATTCCCAAGGACGAGCAGCGGGTGGCAGCACCGCCCCCGCTTAAGCGTCGTCCGGGTCCCCTTCTGTCCGGACTTGGGTGGCTCTTGAGCCCGGGCTCTTCCACCGCACTCAGTGAGGAATTCACCCAGACCCCTCCTCTTCCCCAAACTTCTCTGCTCTGTTCAGCGGTTCCTCTAACCCGACCCCTCCGCTCCTTCCAGCTCCTCCCATTCGCTCTCCTCCTTTTCTGGTCCCCACTTAGGAATCTGCCCCCCCTCCCCACCGCCTGCTGGGTCCGGGGATCCTCCCCCCTACTCCCCCCGCGTGCAGCCGCCGCCGCCCGGGTTCCTCTCCCCCCTCTTGGGCGCTCCCTGCCAAGCCCATGATGTAATGGTGTATGTTAATCAGTAGCATGTGGGGAGCTCCGGCTCTGGCGGCTCAGTCCTCCGCGAGCCGACACTGGAGGCAGCAGCAGCGGCGGCGGCAGTAGCGCCCCGGACCCGCAGCGCAGCACTTCCTCAGCTCCGCCTGCCCCGACGGCATGGCCCGCGGACCGCGCTCCGGGAGCCCCCAACCCCGCTGAGAGTCRCCCGGCCCCGGACCCGCGAGTAGGGCCCCGAGCCGCAGGGATGAGCCGCGCCAAGGTGAGTGTCCCTTCCCTTCGCCCCCCTGGAGGAGGACCCATTGGCCACTGGGGTTCCTTGCCCCTACACTCGAGAAGTTCTGGAAATCGGGTAGCAGGAGTCTGGGAGCGAGCGGCCCCGCGATGGCCGAGCCGTTGGGCTCTCCGCCCCGCTGGCGGTGGCAACCACAGCCGAGATAGAACTGGGGGAGTCCCCGAAGCCGAACTTTCTTCTTCGCGGTCGTTGGGGGGCGTGTGCGGATGGCGGTGATCTGCATTCCCCGCCGWGCCGCCCTGCTGCGGGTAGAAGCGTTGCTGCAGGCTCTGGTTGACTCCGTGCGCCGCGTGCTCCCGCAACCCAGCGGCCTCGGCCTGGGACGCGCAGACGAGGCGCTGGGCCCTACCGACCCGCCCGTGGGCGGCGGCGGCGGGGGCAGGATGCCTAAAGCATACACGCGCGTACACACACAGGCGCGCTCACGCACGCACACGGCTGATCGCTCCAGGCAAAGCAGGCCCTGGGAGACCTCCCGGGTGGGCTTGAGTAGCGCGGCGCGGCGCTGGGGAGCCAGGCTCTGTGCTGCGCCGCCGCCCGCTGGGCTCGGAGCTTTGGGTGGGGAGAGTTTATTTTTGTCGCGAGCTGCTGCCGCGGCTGCTCACGGCCTAAATCCAGAGGGGCGCCTGGTGGTGGAGATGCTGGCTGTTGCTGTAGATGGAGCTGCAGCCTCTCGGCTGCTTCTCGGGAAGAAGGAGGAGGAGGAGGGAGGAGAAGGAGGAGGAAGGGGTAGGAGGAGGAGGAGGAGGAGGGAGAGCTGGAGGAGGAGGAAGGAACTCGGGCTGTCGTTGCCTCCGCCTCTGCTTTGCGTTAGCCCCCACCCCCACCCCCGCGCCCCTTTGGAGCCGCATTGCAAGTTTTCTGAGCGGGGAAGATCTGTTGCTGGTGCTGGCGTTCGCAGCACAGCTCCTGAAGCCACCCCGGGTGGGGCGTTGAGGGGAGCACTAGCCGTTCGCAGCCGCAGCAACAGGAAGCTGCGGGGTCTCCTCGTGCACCTGGAAAAGAGGCTTCTAGCCATTCCCCGCTCGGGAATAGCCCATCTCCCGCACCAGGGTGCGGACCAGCGGCTGGTATTTGCGGGACTCAACCTCCGCGGGACGCCCCCACCCACAGCCACCCTCTGATGCACACGTCCCCCTGGGCGCGCTCCTCCACTGGCGGAGGTCTCACTGCAGCTCTTTCTCTTCTTCCAGTGGTGATCGCCGCTCGGGAATGCGGGTGTGAAGGGTCCGAGCTGCCACCCAGCGGGGAGAAGACCCCGGGACGCCGGAAATCACCATCCCGAAGCTGCGAGAAGGGGGGAAAAGAGAGCGTTCTTCATTCAGTTGTGTGCCTTGTGAGGGATTTTATTTTCAAATTCGTTATTTTATTTTATTTTATTTTATTTTTTAAAAAGAAACATTTCCGTGCTACTGTCTGTCATCGTCTCCGGGGAAATCAGCCAGAACCACCGGAACGTAACTGAGACCAGACAAGAGAGGCAGGAGCCGAGGCAGTACCTGCAGCGTCCGGGCACCAGAGCCACCTTGGAACCAGAACGCGTCTCCGGTGGCCGCGGGGCTGCGGCTCCGCCAAACTTTGGGGCGGGCGGGGCGGGTAGGGGCGCCGAGGGGCTTTGTAGACTGAGGGCGGCCCCCTAACCATGATGTTTCGCGACCAGGTCGGGGTGCTGGCGGGCTGGTTTAAGGGCTGGAACGAGTGCGAGCAGACTGTTGCGCTGCTGTCGCTGCTCAAGCGCGTGAGCCAGACCCAGGCCCGCTTCCTCCAGCTCTGCCTGGAGCACTCGCTGGCCGACTGCGCCGAGCTGCACGTCTTGGAAGGCGAGGCCAACAGCCCGGGTAAGTGCGCGGCCACCGCGGTCCTGCCCCTAACCCAGTCTTGCCKCCTGGGGTCGGAGCCCCGCCCCTCGACCGCCTTCAGTGGGGACCCGGACGGCACCCGCCCCGGGGCCGTTGACATATGCCCCTTCTCCCCACACCCGGTCCTCGCCGCCTACTTACCTCCGCTGGCTGCTTTGGTGTTTTGCCCACTGTGAACTCCTCAGTCCATTCCGTGTGGTAGCTACGGTAGCATGAATGATTGATTTTTCTCTCATGCAGTTTCCTGGGAAATAAGTAAGTCAGGTCACGTAGAGTCTGGATTTTCTGGGCTTCCACCCGYCCCCCTCCCTTCTTCTTTTGGGCAACGTGGTTCTGGATTTCAGCAACACATGAAGAAGCCCGGGACTGCCCTTCAGCAGCCAAGCTCTGATTAGGCTGTATGAAGAATACCTGAAAATGCAATTTTATTTTTCTCTCCTCCCACTCCCCACACGAATATTACGGTTTTAGAGGTTCGTCTTCAGAATAATRTATAGATGTTACAGACTATTAAGATGACATTTGCAGTATGGGTATGATGTGGCTTCACTTACTGGTCATGACGTTATACATGTTGATAGGGACCTTGTTGGAAGAGCAGGCCATGAATTGGGTTCCTTGGTCCTTTTTGTTAGGAAACTTTCCTGAGTAATAGAATAGAATTGTTTCACATTACCCTGCTAGTATTTACAGACACCTCAACTAGTAAGAAAGTGACTATACTCCAAGGTCCAGCAGTTTGCCATTTGCTCGTATGGGTGGTGACAGACTGAAATTATATCCTGGTAGTAAGGGGAGACTGGGGGTGGGGGAAAAGTCTGATGGTTGTGATTTTGGATGGGGAAATTCTTTAGTTCATGCTGCTGCTGGAGGGTGAACAGAGCCCCCAGTGTTTATGCAGAGAAAAGAATGCAGGGTCCTCTTCCAGCTGTTCCATGTTAGAGCTGCTGGCCTGCAAGAATAGGAAGAGGTCTGGGCTATTTGATGACAAGGTCCTGTCCAGTCATGGAGACTTGGGAGACAGTGAAGTGAGTGTGCCTTCAGAGTAGCAAGAGGAGAGCCAGCCTCTTCCTCATTCCTCCTCTCTGGTATGGTGCTCATGATGCTGAAGAAGCTAGAATGGGATGTTTCCATATATAGAATCATAGGGTRGAAGTGACTGCTGGAAATTCTCACTGGCCTTTTCCTGACTGCACCCAAAGGATCCTGCACTGCCAAGTATGGAGGGTCATTCTGAAGGAGATTCCATTCATCCCAAGCCTGACAGCTCACACAGTTACTCCAGGGTGGCAATGGCAGGGCCCCCTTTGGTTGAGTTCCACATTTATAAATAGTAGAAGGGCCAGCCTTCTTCCTTAGGGTGTAGAAACATAACTAGGTAGGTAACTGATGACCCACTCTGTCTGCTTCTGTCTTTAATGCCAATGGGTAGCTCAGTTTACCTGCTTGGTTTTGCTTTCTCAGGTTTGACCAACAAGATTATATAAACTTTTTCATGCTGTAGAATGTGAAGAATTTAAGTACAGTCATTTATATGTTGAATGCTCGACTTTGACTCATGTAGGGACTGTTTAATGATAATCATCTTCATGTTACTTAAATGCCGAGCAATATTTTTTTTCCTCTTGAGTAATGCAGAGGATTTTTTCCCAGTATAGCAGTTATCGGTTTAGTGAGTAATTAGATGTATAGTATTAAAAACTAGTGACTTAGTTTAAAAAAATATAATTCAACAAAATTCAACCTCTGTGATTTTAAAAAGYCATTTGGAAATTTTTCATTTAACCATACTTGTTTACAATGCCTACCTATTTGTCCTGCTAAATGATGCAGAAGTACAARATATAGAAATGTTACGTAAGGTGGGGACCATCTACCAGTTTCTGGATTAATCATTCAGCCTAAACATTTTGCCTGCATGGAAACCTTTGTACTTGTTTTGTTGCGTGGCCAAGACAGAAAATCACTAGGGAGGTCATATAATGGTCTAGTTTACTTTTGGAGGGTAGGCATCATAAAGAGCATCAAGATTTGTTCCAGCATACCTGTTGTGCCTTTCTGCATTTCTGGAACTTAGCCAAGAACCAGGAAGGAGGCAAAAAATGTCCACTTAGCAACACTAGCAGAGTAGGTGGCATAAAAATCCAGAGAAAACTTGAGACCCCCCCCTTTCAAAACATTCTTACTTTTATTCTAAACACAATCCTAACATTTTTTTTTTTTAATTTGAAAAATAATCCTTAGTGTACTGGGAATAGTACATTTAGAATAGGGTGAGAGTCTGCTGTAATCAGCAGTGAAAAGTGACCCCCGATAATCTGACAAGAAGGAAAGAGAAAAACTATAACTTCAGACACAAGAATTGGAGCACAAGCCCTGAAGGCTTTGAACTATTAAGGTGGGAAACCTTAATTGACCCTGCAGGCATCTGTTTTTGATGATATAAGCCAATAATTTCTACTTACTAAAGCAGACTACCAAAAGAGTGCATTTTAAAAAATACACTTCTTAAGAAGCTGGGGAAGTGTTCAATATACTTGGGAAATATTTACACCCAAGATAATTAACCTCCAAAGCTGTTCTTACCAATTCAGAAAACTCGGCTGTGCAGAATGACTCATTCATTGAGTGGCTGAGATTTCTCGTACCAAAGTCATCCAGTATTATTTATTTTGTAATCATCAATTAAAACATAGCATTTATTCTAGTGTTTAGAGATTTTAAAACTTGGTAAATGGGAACCAAATTCATATCTGGGGTTTGATTCAGTTTTCAAAAAGAAAAGAAAAGAAATAATTAGTAATTGTGTGAATTTGGTTGTGTTTTGCAGGACTCTATATTTAAATCAAGAGAGAGCCTGAACATTAAACATGGTTTATCTGAGATCTGTGGGATGTGTTTTAATATTTACTTTTCATTTTCTTAAAGTTACTGAGAATCCAATGATTCACTGTTTGATCTTTTGCYTCAGGTTCATGGTTATCAGAGATCCAAAGAAAATAGTTGTCTCAGTCCCTACTACAGTTTGGTTCTGTAATGACCTTTGAAGGCCCATGTGTTAAAGCCTTAGTCCTAGCTTGGTTTAAAGGTATGCAACCTTTAAGACATAGGGCCTAGTAGGAGATCTTGGGGTCATTGGGAGCATGCCTTTGAGGGRGACAATGAGACCCTGCCCCTTCCTCTTCTTCTCTGAGTCCCTGGCAATAAGTTGAGTAGTTTTGCTCTGCCATTATATGCCACCAAAGGCCCAGAGTAATCAGGCCAACCTGTCGTGGACTAAAATCTCTTGAACTGTGAGCCACAATAAAGTTCTCTCTTTAGAAGTTTGTTATCTCAAGGCATATGTTATAGTGATGGAAAACTGACCAACACAGTCCCTATGGATGTGTGTGTGTGTGTGTGTGTGTGTGTGTGTGTGTGTACCCGTGCACGCATGTGTATTTTTTTTTTTCACTCCAGATGTGGTCATTGGATATTGGTCATGGTCATCTCTCTAAGTTGAGGCTTGCTTCCAGCACCTCATAACTTTAGAAAGGTCCCCCCTTTTTTTTAGATCACAAATGGAGTAAAGTAGAAGAGGTTTTCCTGATGATATGAATAAGATCTTATTTGTAATTCTTTAATTCATTTATGCATTCAACAAACGTTTTCTGACTGCCTACTATTTTTCTGGCTCAGACTTACACAATGGGAATACAGAGGTATCTTACTGTATTTCATGACCTGGTACATGATATATAACTCTCAGTGTTAAGTCAATAACTAGTATAATATCATAGGTGCATAAATATGGGATTAAATTAAAAGTATGGAGGAAGGAGTGCTGGGGCATTGTGAATCTAGCAGCTAATTGCTGGAAGCAGGGGTCCAGAAGGTGTGTTTGATTAGAGTCTTGAAGGGTGAATAAAAGTTGGTTTAGTATGTAAAGAGAATAGTAGAGAACAAGCAAGAAGATATTTTCCAAGCAGGAAAAAAAATTTATAAAAAGCATTGATTTGCAAAAGGGACTGGCTTTGTGCAAGAAATGGTAGGTTCAGACTGGCTGAAAGAATATAGAGTGCTGAGTTCTAAAGAGCAGCAGTTAGAAGCAGAAGCAATGTGTGTAGAGGACTTTTGCCAGYCAAGGAATTTAGAGTTAATCCCTCAGAGATGATAAAGATCGGAAGAAGACTTTAAGACAGGGGCCTGCTGCAAATGAAGAGGAAGAGTTAAAAGATGAATAGGGTKTGCGTGTGTGGTGTGTGGGTCATGTGGGTTATGCAGTGTTTGATGTGGGGGGGTGGATTAGGAGGTGTCTGTGTGTGGTAGGGGTAGTGTGTCACGTATGGTACGTGTGAGGATTATGGTTTATGGGTGTGGGTGTGTATGCTGAGTGTTGTATTCACGTATTTGTATATTTTCAGGGAAGAGTTCTCCTGGTACGTGCATGGTTCTCAGARAGGCAAAAATGGAATAAGAGGCAAATGAGTTCAATTTCTGTTTTGGCCTCTGGTGGCATTGTCTTGGGGCATCAGTGTACTGGGGCTGTGGGGAAGAAGGATTGAGAAGGAAAGAGAAGTATTGTTCAAGTGTCTGTGTATACCCACAGGAGCGCATAATTTATGGAAGATTCTTGGAGTATAGATTTTGAAATTCATCAGACTAGGCTGATTAATTTTTGAGCCTCAGTTTTCTCATCAGTAAAAATGATGGTTTTGGGGGAAAAAAAAAACTTTGTTATGATCTGGAAGGTCCTTGTTAATGACCCAGCAAGGATCTATTTCATCCTTCAGGTTTAAGTTCACCACTCATTAATGTGGAATTGATATAAATGGTATTTTCCTAAATGGTCAGAAATCTTTTCATGTGAGGAATCTTGAAGAAGAGATTAGGGAGGACTTGGAACCCTAAAAAGATACTGCTGTGTTCTACCTACCATTTACCTTCATTGTTCTACTCTATCATGTTGGGTCCTTAAAAAAAAAAAAAAAAAAAAAAAG